GGGGGGGGGGGGGGGCAAGCCCGATAACCCGAGTCATCGCCAGACCCAAACAAAAAGCAGTCTCAAAGATGCCTTGGAAAGTGGCTCGTCCTTGGAAAGGGTCGCCTTGGAAGTTGCTCGTCCTTGGTGTGCGGGCTGGCCGCGGGCGGGAGGGCAGTGCGGCTCGGCAGGCACAGCGAGCGCGACCCCACGACGACCGCACGGGGCCCCGGAGAGCTGGCGAGAGAGACGCCGAGGCCAGAGGTGAGTCGGGCCTGTCCCCCTACACGGGGATCTTCGACGAAAAATCAAAAGAATACCCCCAGAAATACCCCAAAAAGGTAAAAAAATACCCAAAAGATAGTCTCCAGACTGTTTTTGGACTATTTTTGGGGGTATCTTTTGTTGTTCGGTGAAAGTACCCCTGTAGGGGGGATTTTCGACGAAAAAAAGGAGGAGGAGGAGGAGGAGGAGGAGGAGGAGGAGGAGGAGGAGGAGAGGAGGAGGAGGAGGAGGAGGACGGGAGGAGGGCCTCCTCCCTCCTCCTCCTCCTCCTCCTCCTCCTCCTCGACGAGGGCCCGTCCCCCTACAGGGGGATCCCCGACGAGCAAAAAAAAAGAATGCCCCCCGAGCCCGAGCCGAGGAGGGCGGGGCCTCCGAGCAGCCCCGGAGGCGCGGCGCCCGGCGGCTGCCGCGCCTCGAGCTGCCCCTCGGCGGCGAGCCGCGCGGAGAGGGCGGCGAGGGGCTCGAACTCCGCGCCGGCTCGAGACCCAGACCCCCGACGTAATGATTTTTTCATGTCGACCCCCAGAGGTCCCGACCCTTTCCCCATGACCGGCTTTGCATCCTGAGTCGTTTTTTGACGCTCCCGAGGCCCGGTGAGGGGCCCCAGAGGCCGAAAACTCGGAAAAACCTCCCGTCATGATTTCTTCATTACTCGAGGGGGTCTGGGGGCTTCTCGGGCGCCCTGCGCCGCTCCTCGGCGGGCCCGCCGCCCTCGGCGGCGATCGAGAGCGCTCCGGCGGCCGCGCCTCGCCGAGAGGCGTTCGCCGGGGGTGCCCGCGTCGTCCCCGAGCGGCCGCCGGAGGCCCGGGCCAGGGCCCGAGAGCGGGACTCGGCGGCGCGCCCCGAGAGGGGGAGGGCGAGATCGGGGACCTGCTGACCCGGGTCAATCCAGACCCGGGTCAGTCAGGCCTTGCAGAGTCCTGCAAAATCCTGCAAAATCCTGCACCCAAACCCGGGTCAGTGCGAAGGATCCTGCAGGATCCTGCAGGATCCTGCACCCAGACCCGGGTCAATGCGACCCTGGCCCTGCAGGATCCTGCAAGGTCGGGGCGCTCTGGCTGACCCCCGTTTGCACTGACCCCCGTCTCGAGGCTCCCGACGAGAGGGAGGAGGGAGTCGCCCGGCCTTCTGAGGAGCGCTCCAGGCCTCCCCCGGAGACGCAGGGAGCTTCTCGGAGGGCCGACGGGCCTCCGAGAAGCCCCGCCGCCCCTCTGAGAAGGCCTTCTCCTTCTCACTTCCCCCCCTCGCTCGTCGCCGAGCTTGGGGGGCAGCCCCTCACGGTGCGCGCGGATGGCTGCACCTGCCAGATGCGCGATCCACAGACGAGCCGCTTGATCAAGGGGGAGAGGCGGATCGCGGCCTCCGACCCCCACGTGGGCACGACGCTCGGACGAGTCTGCTCGAACGAACGAGCGGGGCTTCACGACCACTGCGTGGAGGTCACCCAGAGCTCGAGTGCTGAGTACACGGCATCATACCAACCTCTGACGTGCTAGAAATGGGCTACCATTATCATGAGCCACCTGGAGCGGTCGACTTGGTGTGCCTGGGCAAGAGATCGCAACATGACTGTGAAGGACACCGTCAGCAGGATAATGGCGGGAAAGCAGCCATTACCAAAGTTCAGGAGAGCTGAAACTGACGCCGAAGCGGATTTCGACATCGACCTGGACGGCAAATACGAGTGCTGGGAGTTCCTGAACGATAGCGCCAGGACACACCGAGGGACTTGTCCCGACGGGCCAGACAGGCTTGCAGTCGTGCGACGCCAACGTGCTCATCGCGGACGAGCTCAGCGAGACGTTCCTCACCGACTAGGAGATCTTCGCTCCTCTTCCCGAAGGTACGGAACGCGTTCGGACACGGCTAGACTTCACGACCGACGGTGACCACCACGACGACCCTCAACCGCCGACAGAGGAAGCGGTATACCCCAGGAAGCAACCTGCTCAGGAGGCCAAGTCCGATGTACCACCACCATCACCACCACCACCACCACCACCACCACCACCACCACCACCACCACCACCACCACCACCACTACCACCACCTCCCTACGTGCATCACAGCACCAGCGTCAGCGACACCAGGATCATGCGGGCTGCGCGTCCGCCTGGGGCATCGTGGAGGTTCTCAGGCGCGCAGGCGCCGAGGGCCACATCCTCGGCATGGCGTCGAAGTTCAGTTGCGAGGCGTGCGAGCGCCGCCAGCGCAAGCCTTTCCAGGGGGTGGCTGCGCCATAAAGCCCAGCTGCACCAGGCAAGGCCATCGAGACCGGCAGCGTCTGCTGGACCGACACCCGCGACAAGCAAGTCTGGACAGGCGCCTACGTCGCTGACACGGGTGCCAGGCTGAGCGGCGGAGCCATCAACTTCTGGGGCAGACTCATGGGGTCAGGCGAGGAATCCCACCAGCCCTCTGGGCGTCGGTGGTTTAGAGCGTTTCCTCTTCCACCCCTCCTTCTTCCCCTTCGGGGAGGGGTTTACCCCTCCCCCTACCCCCTCCCCACTGACCTGGACAGGGGGTTCCGCGGCGCGTTGGAGCGCCCAAGATCGACCCCTGGGAGGGCTAAAATTCGACACCCCTCACGAGGATCGTGGCTCCTGAGGGGGGGACTGTAATTAGGGAACCCCCCTTCGTTGATCGATCTCCTCCAAGATGGCTCCGAGGCCCCCCAAGAGGCCCCCAGGAGGCCCCCAAGAGACCCCCAAGAGGCCCCAAGAGACCCCCCAGAGGCACCCAAGAAGCGCCCAGGAGGCCCCAAGAAGCGCCCAGGAGGCCCCCAAAGGCCCCAAGATGGCCCCAAGAGGCCCCAAGAGGCCCCCAGGAGGCCCCAAAGAGGATCCCGAACGGCCCACAGAGGCCCCCCCGAGGCACCCAAGACGCCGAAAAGCCCCTCAGGACGACCCTCTACTCGCCTGGGCGTCGTTTCTGGACGGGCTGGTGGGGATACGCGAAGCGTCTAGAATTTCGAGAGACGTTGCAGCAGAAATGGACACAGTTCTGCGGACGGCCTGCAGTGCTGCGGCTCGACGGAGAAGGCTGTCGCGTCGAGAAACGAGTCAGGGAACGGCTGCTATCGCGCGGGATCATGGTAGACGTCACTGCCAGGCAAGCTCACAACCAAATGGCACTGTGCGAACGAAACGGAAGCATACTCAAGGAGTCCACGTCCAAGATTGCATAGGGAGTCGAACGGCAAGGTCACGACAGACGAGATTTTTGAAGGGGCCCTGGGACACACAAATAAATACACACAAATAACAGGATCCCCCATATTTCCCCCCATATTTTCTGGGTTTTTGTCTTCCCCCCCACTTTTCATATGTTCCCATATTTCCTGGGACATCGACGATTAATTGTGTCTGTGTGTTTCTTTCCCTCCTGAATTTTCTCAGAGGCAGTTGATACGATGAACTGCCTCAGCAGGTATCAAGGCCACAGTCCCCACGAGAGAATTGCTGGGCAGGACGCGGAGCCTGGGACGGACCAGCAACGGTCCTAGCCAGGAGCCTGGATGCGCCAGCAATCCTGGCCTGGTCGTTTGGATAGAGCACCGTAGCCGACTTCTGCGAGCTGGACGCGGACACCTACGATCTGCTACCGAGACGGAACTGGAGATACATCAACTACTACATGGAGAATCGGTGCCGCTCAACATTACGACGGCGTTGCTCGAGGTCAAGAGCAGCGAGTTCGAGGACCTGATCCGTCAGCCCCTTCGCGACCTCGATGACGAGGACGAGGCTTGGGTGGTGGAGCCTGAGAACCTGTTCCTGCAGACGACGGCGGACAGCGGCCCAGAGGCCGCGGGCATTCCGGAACCGAAGGACGACGACCCTGTGGTGCCTAACCCGGAGGCGAGGCCGACACAGAGGACGACTGTACGACGTGTCGTCCAAGGACCTGGGAGGATCTGGGGCCGCCCCGACAGCCCCCAGACACCGGAGGAGGAGGAGGAGGAGGAGGAGGAGGAGGAGGAGGAGGAGGAGGAGGAGGAGGAGGAGGAGGAGGAAGGGAGGGAGGAGGAGGAGGAGGAGGATGGATCTGGGGCCCGCCCGACAGCCCCCCAGACACCGGAGGCCCGGGGACGACAGGCGCGACGACCAGCCGAGGCGGGAGACGGCGAGGCGGTGAGGGGTCGCGCCAGAAGCCGAGGTCCGGCACCCAGAGGAGGAGGAGGAGAGGAGAGGAGGAGGGGAGGAGGAGGAGGAGGAAGAGGAGGGAGGAGGGAGGAGGGAGGAGGGGAGGAGGAGGAGGAGGGAGGAGGGGAGGAGGAAGAGAGGGAGGAGGGAGAGGGAGGAGGGAGGAGGGAGGAGGGAGGAGGGAGGAGGAGGAGGAGGAGGAGGAGGAGGAGGAGGGGGACCGCGCCGAAGGGGATTCGCATTCTACCAGGAAGACGAGCGAAGAACAGGACATCACCACTGGCAGACAAGAGGCCGTGGTACCTGTCCATCGCCGCTCCCTCCAAAGAGGCCTTCAGCCGCTTCGTGAGGGATACTCGCATGTATGTTGCCACTCAGGCGATGCGTCAGTGCGTGGAGGTGAGCTCAATATTGCCATGAAGAAAGAAGAGGAAGAATTTCTACTGGCACAGGCCTGTCGAGGCCCACGATAACATTCCCCCGAGCCGAATTATACTCCCACCTGACGTTGCCCCTGGATGACGCCCTAGGGCCCAAGACGAAGCACCGCGGCGAGGAAGCGCCCCGCCACTCCACAGGGCCACCCGACGTTTACAACCCGAAAGCGTCCGCGACGGTCTCGCCCGCCAAAGCCCCGCTCAGGAGCTGTCCGCCTGGCAGGGCCGCGTCGGCGCGGCCGAGCCCTGGGCCCAACCTGCCCGCGCCCAGCTCGCCCGCCAGCCAGTCGCGCACGCCAGCGAGCGGCGCGCCGGGCGCCGCCCGCACCCGGCAGCGCTCCACCCCGCCCAGGGTCAGGAAGCGCACCTCGCCGGGAAGGGAACGGGTCCTCCAGTTTGTCCGCTGTGACTCTCGCCTCCCCAGGCCCTCCACGGGCCCCAGGGCTGTCAGAAAACGGCCCAGGATGAAGATGCGATCCATGGGGCACGGCCCCGGGGTCCAGGACCCGATCCCCTAGGGACCCGTTCCCTTCATGCCAAGCACCGCGCCCCCATCAAACGACGCCTGCAGAAGCAGCGTCGCGCCGACGCGCGCGGTGTACGTCAGCGCTCCGTCCAGCGCCGGCACGTTGCACTGGCCGTCGCGATTCGAGCCGAAGGCCACGGCCGTGCCGTCGCTCCTGAGCAGCACTGTGTGACCGCCTCTCGCGGCGACCTGCGTGTAGCTCAGGCCACCATCCAGCGCCGGCACGTTGCACTGGCCAGCGCGATTCAAGTCGAAGGCCACGGCCGTGCCGTCGCTCTTGAGCAGCACCGTGTGGAAGCGTCCCGCGGCGACCTGCGTGTAGCTCAGGCCGCCGTCCAGCGCCGGCACGTTGCACTGGCCCTCGAGATTCCGCCCGAAAGCCACGGCCGTGCCGTCGCTCCTGAGCAGCACTGTGTGGACGCCTCCCGCGGCGACCTGCGTGTAGCTCAGGCCGCCGTCCAGCGCCGGCACGTTGCACTGGCCGGCGTCATTCCGCCGAAGGCCACGGCCGTGCCATCGCTCCTGAGCAGCACCGTGTGGGCGACTCCCGCGGCGACCTGCGTGTAGCTCAGGCCGCCGTCCAGCGCTGGCACGTTGCACTGGCTGTCGCTATTCCAGCCGAAGGCCACGGCCGTGCCGTCGCTCTTGAGCAGCACCGTGTTGTCACCTCCTCCCGCGGCGACCTGCGTGTAATTCAGGCCGCCGTCCAGCGACGGCACGTGGCACTGGCCTTCGTCATTCAAGCCGAAGGCCACGGCCGTGCCGTCGCTCTTGAGCAGCAGTGTGTGGGCGTATCCCGCGGCGACCTGCGTGTAGCTCAGGCCACCGTCCAGCGCTGGCACGTTGCACTGGCCGCGGTCATTCCGCCCGAAGGCCACGGCCGCGCCGTCGCTCCTGAGCAGCACTGTGTGAGCGCATCCCGCGGCGGCCATCCGCGGGCGCGGTCCGGAGGCCCGAGGGCCCGCCGAGGGGGGCGCGCGCGGGCTCCTGGGAGCGCGCGGGGCTCCGGGGAGGGCCACGGCTCGAGCCGGGGCGGCGGGCGGGGAGAGGGGCGGCCCACAGGGCCCCCGCCCCTGGATGCCTGGAGGCACCTCCAACGCCCCGCGATGCGCCACGTGCGAGCGGCCATGGGGCACGTTCCTGGACTGAGGGGCAACGAGAGTGGGGGCCTGGCTCACTGGGAGGGGGGGGGACATCGACCTGGACTCGGCGACGCATCGCGGAGAGATCCGCACTACGACAGAGGGGCCCCACGTGCCTGCGCTGAGGGGCAACGAGGGTGGGGGCCGGGCTGACCGGGAGGGGGGATAACATCGACCTGGACTCGGCGACACATCGCGGAGAGATCCGCACTAGGCCCCGACAGCGAAACCCCAGGATCCCGTCGGCGTGGAATGGGCGACTGAAGGTCGATGCATCCCCCCCTGAGCCTATCCCCCAGGTGTATCTTCGTCCCCTGGCTCGCGGGTCTCCGGCGGCCGTCGGGGACCATCAGGGCACCCCCGGACGCCTCTCGACTAGGCGCAGCTCTTGGTGTACGCATCCCGAGGCTGGAAAGTGCCGAGGACCCACGAAAGCATCCCCCCACCTGACGTTGCCCCTGGATGACGCCCTAGGGCCCAAGACGAAGCACGGCGGCGACCCGATGTCTACAACCCGAAGGCGTGCGCAACGGTCTCGCCCGCCAAAGCCCCGCTCAGGAGCTGTCCGCCTGGCAGGGCCGCGTCGGCGCGGCCGAGCCCTGGGCCCAGCCTGCCCGCGCCCAGCTCGCCCGCCAGCCAGTCGCGCACGCCAGCGAGCGGCGCGCCGGGCGCCGCCCGCACCCGGCAGCGCTCCACCCCGCCCAGGGTCAGGAAGCGCACCTCGCCGGGAAGGGAACGGGTCCTCCAGTTTGTCCGCTGTGACTCTCGCCTCCCCAGGCCGCCCACGGGCCCCAGGGCTGTCAGAAAACGGCCCAGGATGAAGATGCGATCCATGGGGCACGGCCCCGGGGTCCAGGACCCGATCCCCTAGGGACCCGTTCCCTTCATGCCAAGCACCGCGCCCCCATCAAACGACGCCTGCAGAAGCAGCGTCGCGCCGACGAGCGGGCGCGCGGTGTACGTCAGCGCTCCGTCCAGCGCTGGCACGTTGCACTGGCCCTCGAGATTCAGCCCGAAAGCCACGGCCGTGCCGTCGCTCCTGAGCAGCACCGCGTGGGCGCCTCCCGCGGCGACCTGCGTGTAGCTCAGGCCGCCGTCCAGCGCCGGCACGTTGCACTGGCCGGCGTGATTCGAGCCGAAGGCCACGGCCGTGCCGTCGCTCCTGAGCAGCGCCGTGTGGAAGTCTCCCGCGGCGACCTGCGTGTAGCTCAGGCCGCCGTCCAGCGCCGGCACGTTGCACTGGCCGTCGCGATTCGAGCCGAAGGCCACGGCCGTGCCGTCGCTCCTGAGCAGCACCGTGTGGGCGCCTCCCGCGGCGAGCTGCGTGTAGCTCAGGCCACCGTCCAGCGCCGGCACGTTGCACTGGCCGGCGTTATTCCAGCCGAAGGCCACGGCCGTGCCGTCGCTCTTGAGCAGCACCGTGTGGAAGCGTCCCGCGGCGACCTGCGTGTAGCTCAGGCCGCCGTCCAGCGCCGGCACGTTGCACTGGCCGTCGCGATTCGAGCCGAAGGCCACGGCCGTGCCGTCGCTCCTGAGCACATCAGAAACAGCAAAACCAAAAAAAAAACAAAAAAAAAAAACAAAAAACCAAAACAAAAAAACACCACACAAAAAACAAAAAAAAACCAAAAAAAAAACAAAAAGGCACCGTGTGGGCGCCTCCCGCGGCGAGCTGCGTGTAGCTCAGGCCACCGTCCAGCGCCGGCACGTTGCACTGGCCGTCGCGATTCGAGCAGAAGGCCACGGCCGTGCCGTCGCTCTTGAGCAGCACCGTGTGGGCTTCTCCCGCGGCGACCTGCGTGTAGCTCAGGCCGCCATCCAGCGCCGGCACGTTGCAGTAGCCGGCGCCATTCGAGCCGAAGGCCACGGCCGCGCCGTCGCTCCTGAGCAGCACCGTGTGGAAGAATCCCGCAGCGACCATCCGCGGGCGCGGTCTGGAGGCCCGAGGGCCCGCCGAGGGGGGCGCGCGCGGGCTCCTAGGAGCGCTCGGGGCTCCGGGGAGGGCCACGGCTCGAGCCGGGGCGGCGGGCGGGGAGAGGGGCGGCCCGCAGGGCCCCCGCCCCTGGATGCCTGGAGGCACCTCCAACGCCCCGCAATGCGCCACGTGCGAGCGTCCATGGGGCACGTTCCTGGACTGAGGGGCAACGAGAGTGGGGGCCTGGCTCACTGGGAGGGGGCCTGGCTCACTGGGAGCCATCCCCCCCGATGCATCTTCGTCGCCCGGCTCGAGGGTCTGCGGCCGTCGGGGACCCTCTGGGCACCCCCGGACGCCTCTCGGCGAGCTGCAGTCCTCCTCCTCCTCCTCCTCCTCCTCCTCCTCGTCCTCCTCCTCCTCCTCCTCCGAGGGTCCACGAAGACATCCCCCCCAAACCGAAGCACAACGCCCCCCTGGCGCTGCCCCTGGATGACGATGACGCCCCCCCGGGGCCCGAGACGAAGCACGGCGGCGAGCCTCGGGGACCCCCCCCCCTCGTGGGGATTTTTAAGAAAGGTCCTCCTGGACCTCCTCCTCCTCGTCCTCCTCCTCCTCCATCCTCCTCCTCCTCCTCCTCGTCCTCCTCCTCCTCCTCCTCGTCCTCCTCCTCCTCCTCCTCCGAAGGTTTTCTGCTTGCAGGGCCCCTGGAGGGTCTTTGTTGGGGGGAAGGGCTCTGGGGGGGCAGGACATCTGAGACCAGGCTGGAGAGGATCCACAAGCACGTCACGAACTGCCCGAGGGCACGGATCTCGCAGCAGCACAGCAAGCCAGCGATCGTTCGAGCAAGCTCGTGAGCTCCTCCGTCGCAGGGAGACGGACCGCAGGTTTGTCAGCAGCGGCAGGGGCAAGCACAGCTCGGGGCAAAGAGTCTGGACGGGATGCTGGCCACGGCCGCGGCCCACCGAGCTCAGCTGTTTTCTTTGTTCCCTACCTAGGCTCTGCCTAGAAGGGTTCTTACTCGCGTGGCTTAAAGGGGTCGGGCAGTGGAACCCGCCCTGGGCGGTTCCCCCGGTCCCCTGGGAGCCAAGCAAAAGCAACAGCAAAGGTAAAAGCAAACATGCGGTTCCCCCAGTTGCGCTCACTGGGTGCCAAGCAAAAGCAAAAGCAAAGGCTTAAGTGAAAGCAACAGCGAAGGCAAAGCAAAAGCATAGCATAGCATAGCATAGCGCAGCATAACATAGCATAGCGCAGCATAGCATAGCATAGCATAGCTTAGCCTAGCCTAGCCTAGCCCGGCATAGCATTGCGCAGCATAGCATAGCATAACATAGCACAGCATGACAGAGCAGAGCAGAGCATATAATAGCATAGCGCAGCATCCACTATTGCTGCTGCTATATATATATATATATATATATATATATATATATGTAGGTGTGTGTACTAATGTGTGTGCGCACGTATGTTCCATGCATGTTGTCCGTCTGTGGGCCATCTTAAGCACTTAGGGGGACAGCTTGAACCCTTAGGATTCACGAAGGTTTCGCACATAGCACCGGCCAGGAGACATGAAACCCGACGTATTATCGCATGTCCAAAATGTCTTCCTATATATGTCATCTCCGTGCCTGCTTGCTTTTGCGGCTGTCTCGGCGACTTGCTGCCTGCTTCTGCTGCTGCTTCACTTACGGCGTGGCGTCGGCGGTTCTGGCGCTACTACTACTACTACTACCACCACCACCACCACCACCACCACCACCACCACCACCACCACCACCACCACCACCACCACACCACCACCACCACCACTACTACTACTACTACTACGACTACTACTACGACTACTACGACTACTACGAAAAACTACACTAATACTACTACTACTAAACTACTAACTGATTACTACTACTACGACGGACTACTACTACGAACTTACTACTACTACTACTACTACGACTACTACGACTACTACTCTACTACTACTCCTACTACCACTAATTCTAACTCTACGACTTAACTGCTACTCCTACGACGACTACTGCCTACTACTATTACTACTGACTAACCGGAACTACTACTACTACTACTACTCTACTACTACTACTACTACTACTACGACTACTACGACGTTACTACTACTACTCCTACTAGTACTACTACTACTACTACGACTACTACTACTACTGCTACTACTATTACTGTTACTATACTACTACTACTACTACTACTACTACTACTACTACTACTACTACTACTACTACTACTACTACTACTACTACTACTACTACTACTACTACTACTACTACTACTACTACTACTACTACTACTACTACTACTACTACTACCGCTACTGCTACAACTACGACGATGAGGAGAAAGAGGAGGACGGCGTTTACCGCTCCTACTAATGTTGCTTTCCTAGAGGCTCCAACTCCTAGGTAGGGTCGCACTGGGATAATTTGTTTTTACACGTACGTCCATGTCATCCTCCTCCTCCTCCGCCTCCTCCTCCGCCTCCTCGCTCCTCCTCCGCCTCCTCCTCCTCCTCCTCCGCCCCCTCCTCCTCCTCCTCCTCCTCCTCTCTCCTCCTCCTCCTCCTCCTCCTCCTCCTCCTCCTCCTCCTCCATGTGCACGCGCCTACCACGGGACAAAGAGTGGCACAAGGGCCCGAACATCCATGTGCCTGAGGTGCGGCGGGCTCGGTCACATCGCACAAGACTGCAAGCCACCGGCCAAGCTTCAGTATGGCCGGAAGTACACACCTCCATCGTCAACATCTCACCGCCGCAAGCGCCCTGCAGCGATCAAAACACGATCGGCAGCGAAAAAAACACACGATCTACTGCGACCCGGATACGATCTACAGCGGTCCGGAGGCGACCTACAGCGATGAAGATACGATAGATTGCGACACAATTGCGAACTACGACGATCAAAATACGATCTACTGCAAACCATGTATGACCTACAGCGACCCGGGTACGACCTACAGCGACACACATACGATCGACTGCGACACAGAAGCGACCTAGAACAACACATACTATACGACCTAGATGCTGTATCGGACACGTGCTTGTCGTGTACGATCAGTGTGTGCTCATGTCCTCACAGATGCGAGGGCCCTTCAAGTGCATGTTGGACTCTGGAGCGACATCGTCGATGATAGGTTTGGAGATGGCCGAAGTGTGGCAGGCCACCATGCTCAGGATTCTGGGTAAAATCGTATGCAGCTGGTTCCAGGGCGCCCCATCAAGCTCACCTTCGGGAACAGCCAGACAGCCTAATCACTAGACCACGCTTCGATCCCAAGGTATGTCGATGGCCAGGAGTGCGATGTCTGGTCTCCATCGTTGAGCTGGAGGCACCTCTTCTGATAGGCATGGATTTCCTGACAAAGATAACAGCGACTATAGATTTCGAACGAAGCACTATCAAATTCAAGGCCCTAGGAAGCAAGACTTACCTATTCGAAAAGGTCAAGGTGCGGACACTTGCTCTTAGAGTTTGGCCCAGATGCAGAACTGAAAGACACTCTGCCGCAAACCTCGTACGTTTCCCGTGCAGCAATTGCAAGTTGGGCTCGAGACGGTGCTTCTCATCAGTTCCAGCCGGCCACGAGCAAAGTTTTCCAGCTGACTACTCCAGATTTTGTAATAAAGGGAGGGGGGTCTCATTTCGGGGGGGGGTCTCTTCCAGACTATCTTGGAGGGCCTGGGGGGGTCTGGGGACGATGTTTTGGAGGGTTCTCCCACGGGGGGGGTCTAAAACTTCTCGTCTGGGAGGGTTGAGACCCCCTCCCTTCTATTACGAAATCTGGAATACATATTCGGATGTCACCATGGGATGGACGAGGCTTGTGAGGCCCATCGCGACAGCGACAGGACTCGGACACACCGATCCAGGAGCTGGCGAGGAGAGAGACGGCGACGCGGCGGACGACTGAGGACCTCCTCCTCCTCCTGCTCCTGCTCCTCCTGCTCCCCCTCCTCCTCCTCCTCCTCCTCCTCCTCCTCCTCCTCCTCCTCCTCCTCCTCCTGCTCCCGCTCCTTCTCCTCCTTTCGTGATGCTGTGCATGCTTGGTGCAGCTTCGGGGGTCCAACCGCGTTCGTATGGTTGATCCCCTCCACGCAAGCACGCACACATCGAATGTCGGGAGATTCGTCTTGGATGCAGTCGGCTTTGCAGTGGTAGAACTAAGTTGAGGGCCCGTTTTCCATCATTCTTTCCACAAGCCCTTCGTCTCAACAAAGTCGATCGTAATCGGCTCTTGTGGCGATGCATTTTGTCATTCGCCGTTCTCGTTGCCATGTGCTTCCGCTGTACGTTCCGCTTGTTCCAGTCTGGATGCTCGCCAAAAAGGGTAATTAGTCTTGCCACCATCGCCGTCGAATTTCAACGGCAGCGTGGCGAGGAAAAGAAGAAATAGCAGCAAGCAAGAGGAGAACAGCGTGCCTTTAGCGGGCTGGGTGTCGTGGTCGTATGCCGACCAGACTGCGGCCAAGTGGGCCTCCCACTTCTCCTCCAGGCCGTCCACCTTCGGCTCCTGCTCCTGTTCCTGGTGATGCTCCTGCTACTTTGACTGCCGTATGCCAACCCCGTGTGCATGCTCTACCTGGTACATACACTCCAGGTTCAAATTATGTATATACACACAGATGCACACACACACGTCTTCAGTCGTCTATGTATTTAATATTTTCCTTTTATGCATATATATATATATACATATATACAAGTGTAGATGTACATGTGTGAGAGAGCGTGATCCATCGCCGCTTTACTGTGGAAAATTGCCGCCCTTTTCCTCCGGAACCCAGGGCTCCCCCCCACCCTCCGAAAATCCCCCCCCCTGCTGGAACCCCCCCCCTCCCCCTGGCAAAACCCTCCCCCTCTCCTAACCCCTCCCCCCCCCCTCCCCCCCTCGAACTCGAAAACCGGAAGGGGTCACTGGTCACTACCGGTTCGAACCCACCCACCCTCGAAAACCGGAGGGGGGGGTCACT